GAGGAGAGGAGAGGAGAGGAAAGATACTATACAAATGTATCTTCACAGGATTGCATGAAAAGTACCCCTCAAAAAAAACTGCCAGAAAATTTAGTAAATTTGGCTTTAAGTTGCTTAAAAACTTCAAATACACAGTTTTAAATCAATGTTATCTGCACAAAACCAAAGATTGCTCCCTAGAAGGGACCAGTTTCTCTCTTGCTTTGATTCAAAGGGATTTTTTTTTCTGTAGCACTCAATTCTGATGCAGGCTCAGTCTCTATTATTAGATTCCCACCATCCCTAGACTTTTTGCTGCTTCTGTTTCTGCATCTGTAAAATGCAGGAATCAAACAGCATCATCTGGACGTTTCATTCCAGTTCTAATAGACAGAGACTTTGTAGATAACCTACTGTGGCTTACAGTTTCTGCCCAAAACACACCCACATAACCTTGACCCAGGATTTGAAATCGTTCCTTTAAGATTCCACAGGCCTACTTGAGTGCTTCTCAGTCTTTCTGAACCAGAAGCATCCAACAGGCAGGGAGGTGAGGGCGGTGCACACATTCAGCTGTGCTTGATCACAGTCCTTAGAGACATACTCTCAGTCACTATGCTCCCAAATGTTAACATCCTGAAAATCTCTGATGTCCAAAATTCTGAAAATGACAGTCCCAAACATTGACGTCTAAAAAGCCAAATTCTCAAAAATCTCAATTGCAACTAGAGGAAATATCTATGAAAAGATAGAAATAATAATCCTGGGGAAGGAATTAGTGCATTTCTAGTTCTTTTTTTAATAATTTTCTTGAGAAACAAATAGCAATGAGACAGTTTCAAAACCAATTAGTAGGACAGTTTCAATAATTACTACATTGCAAATTGTTGTCTTAGTGGTTATGCACTGTACAAGATGCAAACATGATATCCTGTCCACAAACAGTATTAGAACAAATCTTTCTATTCATTGAATTAAGAGAAAGTAGCTGTCTATCTATCCTAACTATTTTGAATATACAGATAAAATGGTCCTTCATTTGTATCCCCTTATTTTGTTTAATTTTGTCAGAGAAGGGTATTCCTTTGTCCTTTAAATATTGTAGGTGTGTGAATTCAGCAAGTATTCCAATATAGTCCAGTAGTCCATAATCGTAGTGGATTTTCCGTAGGACTGGCAAGCATTTCTAGTTCTATACATGGTAGTTTATCATGTAAGGTAGAAGGAATCCCAGAAAATTGACATCACCATCATCATCATCATCATCATCATATCATCACCATCATCACCACCACCACCATCATCATCATCATCATCATCATCATCATCATCATCATCATCATCACCATCATCACCATTATTTTGGCCATACTTAATATTATTTGGGGTATGTCTGCCAAGATGTTTCTTGTGGAGATGCGTCTGAGCAGGAGGAGGAGAAGGTCCTCCCTTACTGCTGGGAGCATCATCCAATCAGCTGGAGCCAGGGAGGACACATATTGAAGGTTAAGCAGGCTCTCCTAGAAGCCTGCACAGTTTTCTACTGATGCTGTGGGTATCAGAACTCCAGACTCGCTGGCCTGCCTATGTCCTAGGCTGCACGGGCTTTGGCAACCCATTGTGGGGTTTAATTGATTTCATCAAAAGACTTAAATTGTCTGTCACAGCATTTCAGATAACTCCAGTTAGGAAATAGTGCAGCAAGTGCCAACCACATTGGTGTGCTTCTATACATTTTTCTTTTTGACCTATTAATTAATATGGTTCATCTGCTCCTATATGTTTATGTCTATACAGCTGCTGTTGTATTAGTATATTCAAGTGTTTAGGCTTGCAAAAAAAGTACATTATTGGGCTCACTTAGCACACATACTAAAACTGAAATGACACAGACCTAGTTAACATAGCCCCTGCTCAAGGATGTCATACATATTTGGGGAATGTTCTATATTTTTTAAATAAGCCAGTCACAGAAAGATTGATATGTATTTTCTTTAATATGTAAAATTAAGAAGAAAAAAATGTATTAAACAGAGTTCTTGTTGCTGGGGAAATTGTCCAATGCTGAAATTTAAAGGACGAGAGGTTTGTTTGGTTCATGGTTTCGAAAGATTTCAGTCCATGGTTACTTGGCTCCAAGGCAGAAGCTTCATGTTAGAAAGATATCACCTAACAAAGGTCCACAGTTCACGGCAGCTGAGATGCAGAACAAGGGACTAGGCTGGAGAGGAAGGGGCAAGGAACACCATTCAGTCATCCAGGTCACGTCTTTGTGACTCAGACTTGCCCATACAGTGCTTTAATAGTTTCCTAGATGTCTCCCCAGCCAATCAAGTGGGCCATTAAGCTTAACCATCACAACATGGAAGTAAAAGAGAGACTATCAGACCAGAGGAAGGGGTTTGGAGAGGGAAAATGAAGGTAAAGTAATAGGGAAGATGTAGAGGGTCGAAGTGCATGGACTGGGGAGATATCTCAGCAGTCTAAAGGCCTGCCTGCCAAGCACAAGGACCCAAGTTTGATCCCCAGTACCATGTGTCATGCCAACCTTGGAAGCCCGGGCCCTCTGTGCCGGCCCTGAAACTGAGCATGCTGGTGCACACCTGTAATCCTAGAACTGGGGAGGCTGAGATAGGAGGATCACTTTGAGACTGAACTGCATAGGGAGACACTGTATCAAATAAAAAAAAACATACTTTTAAATAGTGCAGTATATGGATTTATGAAAATGTCACACAGTAACTCAATATTTGATATATTTAAATACATTAATAAAAAATACTTGGCCAAGATATGACAAAAATTTAAAGTTTGTATTATAAGCTTATTTCATCGTATAAAGTGGCCTTTGAAGTATTTTACACCCCCCAAGTAAATCCCCCTTTAAACATAAAAACCCTTTTAAGTAATTTTTAAAATTTACTTTGTACAAAATGTTATTTTTGGCATTGGCTTCTTTCTATATTTTATTATTATTATTAAAATGTATTTGGCTGTTATAGGGTTTCACTAGGCAGCTAAGACTCATAGTCATCCTCCTGTTTTCAGCCTGCCCAGCGTTGGGATTACAGACTGCACCACAGTGCCCAAACCCTGTGGCTAGCTCTGACTGCCCTGGCAGTGGGGCTGGCCTGGCATGTGGTGCCAGGGATTGAACTGTGGTTCCTGTGCACTTTCCTAAACTTGCCTAAGTAGACACTTTAGTCCACTGAGCTATCTCATTGACCTCTCTACATTTTAGGCTGAAGGGATCTTGATCTTTCAGAATTTCAACAGTGGCATCATTCAGTTCGGGATTATACCTTTCAGGATTATGTCCTAGTCCTGTACTGAGCAAGATGGAAGTTGACTAGCACAACCTTGGAGATTATGATTTCTCCACAGGTAATACCTTGTATTGGTTTTCCTTTACTTGCCTGATGAATTATCACAAACTTAGAGGCTTAACAATACGGATTGATCATTTTCACAGCTCTGGAGGTTTAGAAGTTCTTTGTTAGTTTACCTGGCTAAAATTAAAGTTCCAGTAGAGCCCTCTTATGAAAGACTCCACGTCCTTATCTTTTCAAGTTCCTGGCAGCAGCTGAGTCTTTGGCTTGTGGCCTGATGCTGTACCACCTGTTTCTTTTGTCACATCTCCTTCTCTGACTCTTTACTCTTGGAGCACCCATTTTGAAGGACATCTGTCTTGATGTCAGGGGGAGTCCAGGGTAATTTCCCATCTTGAGGTCCTTAAATTAGCCATGTAAGTGACACACTCTCAGGTCTTGGCATTTGGTTGTGGACATCTTTGGGACTACTAGTCAGCCTGTATCACTGGCCCATTTGGTTTTGCTTGTGCTTGTGCTAGTGCCAATTTTCCATTGTGATATTTCGGTGAACTGGCTCAGGACAATGCCACTGAAACACTTTCTAGTCATTCTATATATCACCAGATAATAAGAGGACCACCTGCATACCTGTCCCTTAGAACTTTCTAAGTTATGAAATTGTATTCTTTTCAAAGTGTGGTACAGTACAGTGATGGTAAACCCTGTAGAGTTTTCAATGGTACCAAATGGCCTATTAAGATAGGCATGCTGTAGGTTCACCACTACAAGATGACTTAGAGGCCAGACTGATCTAACTTGCATCCTATTTTGTCCCCTGCAATCTGTATTAGGTTTGACATGTTATTTAAACACCCTGTGCTCCAGTTACCTGCCTGCAGAATGGGTTCACACAGCTATTCACCAGCAGTTAGGACTAGACCAGACCCTCTGCTTGGCTCTGCTGACTCCGAGACATACTGAGGACACAGTGATTCCTTTGCTACAAAAGGAGTGATGCACATGGCCGTCCCCTGTGCAGTGTTCATTGGCAGCAGGAACTCAGAAAGCATTGTAGACAGGATAAAACATTTATGTTTAATTGCTTAGGGAGGGTCAGAGACAACTTTCTGTTCAGCTCTGTCAAACTAATTAGTTGGAACAGAATGTGCTCAGCCCATGAACAAGAGTCTTTTTTCTCTAAGTAATTAGGAATGACCTTAATCTTATTCATTTAAACACAGATTCCCCCCCCCCAACACACACACACACACACACACACACACACACACACACAAACTTGGAAAGACACCAAAGAGTTGGAAAGACACCAAACTTGGGGCTGAACAGCTGCTTTTGTTAATCCTCATACTTTTGCAATTAAAGACTGATTTTTCCTTTCTGTAGAGCTTCTCCTCTTCACATGTTCCTGAGCATTTGTTTTCAAATATTTAGCAGCGAAGGTGTCAGGCTGGAGCCCTATCCATGCTGTTTCCACCATAGCCCCCCGTCTTTCCTCAGTCTCACATCTCACATTGTGTTTGCTAACTGATGGCTTGTGTGTCTCTAATCACCAGCCTTCAAATATGTAAGACCTGGCACATGTCTTTAGCACTCTGCGCCCTGTCTTGCACGTGGATGCTGCTGAGTAAATTGCTGCCGAGGAAATCAATGAAAGAATGTATGATTCTCCTGAAAAAGAAGGTAGAAAGTTAGAGGTCATTGCAGGAGTGATGGGGTAGACAACACTGAGAATGGAAGCTACTGCTAGCCTGTCTTCTATAAATTTGGATACCAAATTTGAAGTGGAAGTGCATCACAATATGGAAAATCTCTGCTTCTATCATCTACATGGATTAAGTAATCGGGGCCAATATTTATCAGACTTACACAGCAAATCCAGCAGTGTGATGCAGCACTCCACACACTTGGTGCTCTTCATTTGGAATTTGAGCAGTGTCTCCACTGACCCTTCCAGTCCTCCCTCCACACCTTGTCCATCCCACTTTGATGTTGGGATGTAAATCAATATAGATGGAATGGGTTCAACCAATGGAAGTTAGAGGGAGAGAAGAGAACATGGTCAGGGCATTTGTTCAACTGGCTCCTTCCTTGTCCAGCTACCATGGCTGCCTGGGTGCATTCCCCTGCTGCAGAACAGTTTCTGTTGTCAGGCTTCCCCATATAGCTACCTTCTCTAGGCAGCAGGAACCATCTTTTCCCCTTTCCTTGCAGGTTTAGTGATTGTGGTAGGCTGCCTTCTGTGACTACTCTTGAGACATTCACTCTTCCTTGAGGGTATCCTTAAACCCTGCCCAACTCTTCCCATCACATGTTTCACAATACAGGTCAGTAACAGCTCTATTTTTTTTTTAAATTTTATTTATTTATTTGTGTGTGTGTGTGTGTGTGTGTGTGTGTGTGTGTGTGTGTGTGGCCAGCTCAGCCCACCAGGGGGCGGGGCTGGCTGGCATGTGGTGCTGGGAGATTGAACCAGGGTCCCTGTGCTTTGCTAAGCTTGTTCTAAGTAGGTGCTTTAGACCACTGAGCCATCTCATCAGCCCAACAGCTCTATTTTAAAGAAAGGAAAGTTAAGTCTCAAAGAGATAAAGACGGGGTTCAACCCCCCATGCCACAGGCCATGCCACCCCCACCCTCAGGTGCACTGAGCTGGCAACAGAGACCAGACATGGGGGCATATGCCTGTAATCCCAGTGCTGGGGAGGCTGAAAACAGGAGGATCACTGAGCTGTGTAGTGAAAACCTGTACGAAATACATAAAAATAAGTTAATATAAAATCAAAGAGATAAAGCAACATTCAAAGATTGCAGAGTTAGTAGGAATAGACCTCCAAACCTAAGGCCTATGGTCTATCATCTGCATGCCTATCTATCTATCTATCTATCTATCATTTATCTATATCTAGTTATCACAGGCTTGATATATGTAATACACAGAGCAACTAACTGGAAGAATGACTAGGGGGCCACGAGAATAATTTTCATTTGCACAGCACAGATGGGCACTCAGAGTTTGGCTCTGAGGGCTGGTGGTGGTTCACCGAGAGTTCAGTCCCCATCAGAGACACGTGTGAGTGAATAAGTGGCACGGTCTTTGGTTCTTCCAAGTGCCCGAGGGAGGCTTGCAGATGCATGGGGGTGTGAACAAGGGATTGTCAAGTGGATCTCACTATTGGCGATAGCACATAAATATGTATGCTGGGTATCATGAATCATGTAGGCTAGATGGGTTGCATTAATATTTTTTTTTTCATTTTAAGGGACCATTTGACTGACAAAGATTCTGGCAAACACCCGTGAGACCAGAGGAGAATCAAATGCTTTATGGAAATTAGGAAGAAGCGAGATATTTGCTCCCTAACTTTATTCTGCAAACTTTTTCTAAGCTTGAAGAAAACATCAGGCAGAAGAGAAAACTGCTCACAAAACAGCCTTTGATTCAGAGTGATAAAGATTTTGAAAACTGCACCGATTTTAGAATTTTTTCAACATTTACTTCAACCTTGACTTTGAAATCGCCTGGCCTTTTTGAACCTCGATTTCCATGTCAGCCAAACGAGGATAAAAGCTTGATGAGACATAAATGTGAAGTGCCCCCGTACAGGATATAGATTCTTTCTGAATGG